ATGTATTCTTTTTTCTGAAATGTTCCCCATATCTAAACCCTATTTTATATCTTTACCTAATCGGCATGTTATTTTAGTCAAATCTGTTGGTAAAGTTCACATTTCTTCATAAGTCACTCTACATGAAGTTCAAACTCAATCTAGTTTTCGGCCATTGCTAAATTGAAAAAACGTAACAAATGAATTCTTTCATTTCTATTGCTTCTCCAGCATAATAATCTTCATCAACAACACAATAATCAGTCCGGTAGCTCAAATTTTGTTTCAAGCATTAAAACTGTTCCCATTGGGCATAGTAAACTTGGTGACTTTCTTGTTTTCAAGCAGCTTGGATAGTGTAATGATTCTCATGTCAATAAAGTTCAACTTCTTTTTTGTTCAATTTGTTAAAAAGCTAAAGAATAAAGATTACATTTTTGCGATAGTTTCATGTAAACATCCAAACCTTTTTTGTTAATTCATGTTGATCTATGGGGACTATCATATCCAAACTTATAACATCTATCTTAATATAATAACAAAAGGATTCTTGGGGAACAAGTTCCCGCCAAAAACATGGCTTGATGTCTACGGTATATCATTTTGGCTTGCTGTTTTCGGTTTAATTTTTTGGCATCAAAACGTGGATATAAAAGCCTGTCATGCATTTAATGATTAATTAATGTTCCGATTTATCTGCCGCATGTTGAAGTTGGTTTTAAAAGGAGCTGGTGTAATATTTTGGCATGAGCACGTGAGAAGGAATATCATGGATAAAAAACATCTGCCATGCAATTAATGTTTACTACTCCATTTTATCTAGCCCACTACTAATTGAAGTCGGTTTTAGAAAAATTAATATGTTTTGCAACTATTCGTATTCCAATGTTGTCTGCCATCTTACCTTTACATTTCTCCAGGTTTTAATTCAAGTGAGAATGATTATTTCTCCAAATTCTAATTCAACTATTCGTATAACACTTATTCTGTGCCTATAAATACCATGAGTTCCCTGCAGTAGTACTATCACCAGTTCAACTTATTAATCTTGCTTCAGGTTGTCTTTAAAATGGTTGGTATGTGAACTTTGGATTGTATGTTTTTCTCAGAATGTTGAAGGAGATGTTCTGTATCCCGAAGAGATTGGAGATCTGCTAGGCTCTCAGTTATTGTTCAGGGTTCAAACAAAAAAAGATGGAAATTATTTCAAAGGAAAGAAGACATTTAGCGTGATCGACTTTAACGATGACAATGGTGTTTTATCTCTTTAAACTTCAAAGGATGGTTCACATGAGCTTTGTGTTTATATGTGTATGAATGTATGTATCATTTATATTAAATTGTACATATTACTTTCAGGTTATTTTCATATGGGTTTTTAGTTGTATTACTTTTAATGATTTTTTCTCAGGTTGTTGATGAATTTGCTGAGCTTTGTAGACAACTTTATGATAGCGAAGCGGTATGGAAATGTTGAAAATCATTCTTAGTGTGTTGTGGGTCTCTTAGTAGTTGTGAATATTCACATATTATTATTATTTGCAGATTGGTTCTTCTGAGCAAGAAGTTAACAGCCATATTCCGAATTCAAATAAAAAAGAAGTGATTGTAGTTGAAGGACATAGCGTCAGAAGATCTTTGATGGGAGGGCTCTCAGTTTCAGGCCCTTAGTTTTGAAGAAATTTAAATCTGTTGTTAAAACAGAGAAGAATTGATGCTTCGTTGGAGAATTAATTTTTGTTGTTTCTTGGCAAAACAGATACTTTGGTTTTGTTTGATGCTGTGGTTGGACAATTACTTTTTGTTTTCTAATCACTGATAGTAGTATGACTACTGCACGTTGGTTTGGTTGTTTTTTTTTTTGTTATGGATGCTTTAGCCCTTGAATGTTGTTGGGGATTATGTTTATATGCTATTTTGCTGGCTTAATATTTTGGTTGCTTTTTGTTATTTAACTTCGATATTCATGTTTTTCTAGCCTTTGTCTTGAAATTTTAATGAATGAATTAGGTTATATTATATTGGTCATATTTTTGGAGGTATGGGTATACATTTTCAATTGTTGAGGTATGTATATTAAGTTTTCATATGCTTTATTTTTAAGCAGTAAAATTTCATGTAATGTATTATTACACATTTTGTCTGTCGTATGCAGTTTAGACATGAATCACAATGGCTATGAGGAATTGACTTCAGAATGGCTATGAGGAATTGACAGGGGTGCTCAAGATAATTGCACAGAGTTCATACCAAATCTGCAATTGGATGTAGTTTAGTTCATTTGTAATGGAAAAAAGATAGTATTATTTGTAATTTAGATTATTTGTAACAAAATTTGGTTTTAATTGAATGTTGCCCAGTAAAATTGGCTACTGACTTAAATAATGTAATCTATATATGTTGGATAATTTTGATTTTTCAGCATGTGCAAATCTTAATCCTTTGAGATGGAATTTTAAGTTTTATATAAGAGTTAATAAATAGTTAAAAGTTTTAAATTTTGGATAAGGGAGAAAAAATCTATCAGTTCATCAATTAGATTTTCTAAATAAAACGTTTGTTTTTTTATTTATATATAAGAGTTTTTTTTGCATAAATATAAGTTTTTTTATTTGTAATGAAAAATTCAAATGTGCAAGAACCATACATTATTTTCACTTCAAAAATGCTATTGATACCCCATTTTGCACCCCATTTTGTACCCACCCCCTATGTTTGTGTCTCACAAATGCACTTCATTAAAATGGAGCAATTCATTTAATGTGTTGGGCTTTTGTGAGCCACAAAAATAGAGTGTGATACAAATGAGGTACTCCCTCCGTCCCGAAATTATCTTCATTCTTTCCGGTCCGTTCCAGATTTATCTCCTCTTTCCCTTTTTGGCAAAGGATTTGTGGTTCACAAACATTCTTATACATTTCTCTCACCTCTCCACAACTCTTCATCATACATTTCCCACTATCTTAATCTCCGTGCCCAGTCAAAATCAAAGTTAATTCTGGGACGGAGGAAGTACAAAATAAGCCAATGGGGTACCTATAGCAAAGTCGGTTTCACTTAATGTCCTTTTCATGTTCCAGATAATAAATTTAGTTGATGTTTTTAAATCAAATTAAAGCTTTTGTTTTTAGGCTTTAAAAAAAATACTCCCTCCGTAACATTCATATCTTCCCACTTTTCTTTTTTGGACGTAACATTTATATCTTCCCATTTCTAAATCTTCCCATCATACCCTCAATAATTTAAAAAATAATACACTACTACACATTTTTTTTTTTTTGGATTTATTTCACCATCTTCCCATCATACCCTTAATAATTCACACTCCATTTCACTATTCTTAATCTCACCCACTTCGGAAGTGGGAAGATATATCTGATACGGAGGGAGTAGCATATTAGTCCAGAGTATGTGTATTTTCATATGAAATCCGTCATTGGTTAAAAGATTTTTGGTGATTCAGATTTTAGATTCTAGAGGTATTTGTTTCAAGGAATAGATTTTAATTTTACTTCAGAATTTTTCCTGGATGAATCTATTGTTAAAATCAACATTTTAAAAATCCGGATATAAAATTCCCTAAATGTTATTTTGTTAAACATATTAGCTTTTAAGTTTTAACTTGATGATTTTTCCCGTTGTGGATCACTAGATCCTGAATAAAAAATGCATTATAAGGATTCATAATTAAAATTCCCTTTGTTGTTGGTCCTTTTAGTCCTCTTTTATTCAAATTGCTTGAGTAATGGGTGTGTTGCTTTAAATCAAGTACTCCCTCCGTCGCCCTAACAATGGGACAAGAGGGAGTGACACACAAATTAATAAAAAGTGGTGTATGTGGTTGATATTGAATTGATAAAGTAAGAATAAAGTAAGAATGATTTAAAACCATACAAACTTTACCAAATTTGACATGAGACAATCTTAGTGGGACGGACCGAAAAGGTAAAATGGGACAATCATAGCGGGACGGAGGATGTATAAAGTAACTTTTAGAATTTTTTTAATACATTAATTAATTTAATGAATATTTAATTGATTTTAGTATATCTATTTAGATTGACTTTTTTTAAGGTGTATATTAATGTGGGGTCTCAATTTTACATTTGGAACCGGGATCTTCAAATTCCTTAGACGGCTTTTGCTTACCCATACACACACACGCACTACGTATATATATAATTTGGATCAAATGAGAACATGATCTAAGAAGAAAAACGGGAATGAGTTTGGAATGTTAGATTTCAGAGTTGCTCATTATGTGAAATAGAAATGTGCACCACCATAAATCAGAAAATGAGGTGTCATTTTGTAGTTAAGCTTTACCTTTTCTGTCCATTTAAAGTATGCACTATTTTAATTATATGTGTGCACCCCATTAATCATGATGTGCATCATTACAGATCATTCTTATTTCAAGGTAATTACTTTCAAGATCTTTTTTGATGTGTATTTTTACATTGATCAGTGGGGCAGCCTTTAAAACCCGCAAGATTTTGTTGGAAAAGAAGTATGAGAGAAATATTTTTTATTTTAAGAGGCCAATTAAAATTTGTTATTTATTTTTTAGTTTTGAATATTTGCAATTTTTGCACTACTGTCAAGTGCAAATTTTTACCCATATTTATACACAACATTGTGACACATAAATACACACATATAATACTCCTAACTATATATATTGAATACCTTTTGTTTTATGTTGTTGCCACATGTCATTTTATCTTCAAAAAATGGAGCCACATGTCAATTATTTCTCCAAAGAGCTCTCCATGAGTTTGCTATATTATATTATATAGATATAGAATATGATACAATAAATTATTATTATGTACATCATTATTTTTGAACTTCTAATCTAACTTTTTGGGTGGGCATTAACACTTCGGAAACTTTCTCTAAATCTTGGATTGGTAATTGGTATCCCACGGTATATCTAAGCGGGTGCCAGAACTTTGAATCCTTAAAACTCTGTACTACGCTTATAGGTCTACTTTGCTCATAAAGAAAGCAAACAAATACGGAGTAATAATAATGTAATGACGTACATGAAAGGACCACACATTCTGTATTTCTGTATATTCAGATGGAAGAATATTCACCTATAAAAAGGAATTTGGGATGTAATAATGTACATAAGGCACATAAATCAGCATATGTATTGCACAACTCTACAAAAGGATTGATGAAAACCGTAAAAGAATGATAGATGAAAAGTTGATGATGCACAATTTTTGAAAAGCAAATACAGATCCCATGAGCAAGAACCAAAAACTGATCATTTCACACCCAAGCTTTTACCCTCTCTGTTCGAGAATTTAGGTTTCGTCCGCGGATGCTAAGCCCATTGTTATTATCTTCTGCATTTTTTCCTGATTGGCGATCACAGATTCTTTTGGAGGCCTTCTTATGATCGGAACTGCCCAGTTTCACGTTTTTCATTCTTCGGTGTTTTTGTTGAACCCTCCTCACACTTGTTACGGTACCATTCCCACCTTTGTGTTCTCCAGAGCTGGTTTCATCAGGTTGTTTGTTCAATTTCCTCCCAGGGAGATCATCTATGTCATCTGCATTTCCCTCAGGAGGGATATTCTCAATAGAGCTCAGAAAAGCCCCAGTTGTGGCCTCCTCGTCTCCGATATTTTGTTCTTCATCGGTCTCATCGGTCGTGTTGGATTCTTGCTCGGGGTTAGCATCGATTGAGGATTCTTCTCTGTTCCTCAGGGTCTTCTCAATGAGAATCTTGAGAAAGTTCATAACTTGAACAGCATGCATCAGTGCTGTCAATGGATCTGCCATCTGCAAGCACATAAAAAGAAGGGAAAGTGAGAGATGATCTAGTGTCCTGTACTCATGTAATCATATTTAAATTTCATTCCAACATATCAACCTTACGAGAAGAGCATGAGTTTTTCATATGAAAGAGTTTGTCATAAACTCACTAAATATAAAAGTACAAAAAACTTGATCTATAATATACTTCGGAATAAAATTTCAATATCTATAATATACGTAGAACTAACTAAAAAACCAACATATAAAGAGCATTAGACTACTACAGGTTCACCTTTTGGATCGAATCCTAAAGGTTAATACAATGCTTAATAAGTTGTTTATACATGATTTATATTTATTTCGTATATGATATTGATCCCTTAACACAGTAAATGAGAAAATATTATAAATACATCCACTAAAATATTTATTTGTATATTAAACAATAAATACTATTGTTCAAGTGCTATTTATATTTGTACAATGTCAGATTAGTCTCTTAGACATCTGAAAATTCATGTCATAGCTTTCTTGAAAAGGAGTAGTAGTAGTAGTCATAATAACATGACATTTCAAAACGATCATCATCGTAGGAAGTTTGAGTTTACTCTCAAACCTGAGTCATATTTGGAGCAAACACGACAGCAACATTCCTTGCATTCATTTTGTTATGATCTTTGGATTCGGCAACATCAGCCATAAGGTTTATAGCCCAGTCTAACAGTGCAGCTTCTGTTGGCGGGAGAAGGCTCACGAGCCCAACACACTCTTCCTCCGATTGTGAACCCATAACTTCTTCCGGTGAAAGAGAGTCAAGTATTCCCCTAGGGAGTTCTCTAAACCAAGCCTATTCAAAGCAATTTTTCATTTCAAGAATCAATTTTTTAAACTTCACTTATGTGTTATATATTTGTATTATGAAAATTGATGAAATAATAGTAATACCTTAATGAGACCGGCTAAGCAATGAACATCAATATCATGCGGTACAACGCCGTTATTTAACTGCTCCCTAACAAGCTCTTCTTGGCCATTTTCAGCAGTAATCCTGAATATGCCTTCAGCCTACAGCAGCAAAGTTGAAACCAAAACGATCATTAATTATATCTGTATGTGTGGTTTTGAAAGTGACTAAAGAATTTCGCAGCTAAAGCAGATTTGGTTGGACCTGCAAACCGCCATGTTCATATAAGCGCCTTTGCATCATCAAGAGTATTGTAGGCACACAATTCCCTCTGCTGTCAAAAGAAAGTTGCATGCACTCCGTTGAAACGCCAAACACTCTAGTACTACATTATTAGGATGCATATTAAGTAAAGTTATTACAATTGTCAGATTCTTCAGTTCCAAGACTATTACAATGGAGACGTTCAGATGAATAGAAGCTTTACATGATACAAAGATCATATAAAAAAAATCTTCACATGTATACATGGGAAATCATAAGTTTATTTAGAGCCAGTTTTGTGAGACATAAAATGGTTGAAAAGTGCTAAATCTGCTGAAGTTGTGAAAGTAGTGATGGGGTATGCTGAATTGTATAAAATTATACTTACAACATACTTTAGTGACAAAAGAAAAGGAAAAATATATGCTCTTGTCAAACATGATCATTTACCCGGCAACATAAAAAAGTCTTCACCCTTCTTTTTTACCAGTAGCTAATAAATTTATATGCCGAAAGATACTCCCTATTAGCTAACCAACAGCCAAAAGTCTAAAGCATTTGAACTATTGGAATTTGGGAAAAGCAAAAGCTTTTATAGAATCTACATCGAATCCTACATCAATGTATATAATCTGATATGTAAAACTCTTTGAATATTTAAAACTCTTTGAAAAATCAATCCTTGCCTTTTCCAACATGATGGAGAAAGCTGTCAATTTTTCAAATTCTCTATTTATTAATTAAACAAATATGACCAACAACCTACCATTGTCATACACAACCCATACATGCAGCCTGGGAAAAAATAGCCTTCAATGGCGTGTAACACTCATCCCCTTTCCTAGTCCCCACCCCCTACTCCCACCAACCCACTAACCCAGACAAAATGGCAAAACTTTAAATTTTAGGTTGAAGAAGTGCATATACATTTTAAATTTCTTACCTTCATTTATTTCACTTTAATTGACCATAGAATGACTAGGCAGAAAGAGAAAAAACAATTCTTGAAAAAAAATTGGGACAGAAGATAAAGAAAAAGCAACAAAAGAAACCTGGCACTGGGCGGTCTTCTGGGGACTTCAGGTTCAAACTCAACAGGAAGGCCAAGAAATCCAGCGAATCTATCAAAGGTGACATGGGCAACATGTCTGACATTGCTAGGCCAGCTTATCTCCATAGCAGAAACCGATGTAGAAGATGAAGAAGAAGATGAAAGATGGTCCTCAATGTTGTTGTTACAGGAAACCAAAGATTTCCTAAAGACAGTCACCAGAACAGTCAAGAAAGACAGCTGATCTCCCTCCTCCTCCTCCTCCTCCCTCTCCCTCCTCTTCTTGGGATTCCTCTCCTCCCCCAGCTCCTCCTCCTCCTCCTCCTCCTCTATTACTACTATTTCTGCAGTACTTCTTGTGAAATCAGGAACAGAGGAAGAAGAAATACAAGAAGCACAAAGGGCCCTTTCTTGCAGGTGCAACCCATCATTATCTGTAGGTGGGCTGGTGGAGCTTGAAGATGAAGAAAGCATTGTGATTTCTCTTTTAATCATCTTTATTTGGAAGGGTTTTGGTGAAATGGAAAGAATGATTCTTTCTAACTTCTGAATACGTATTCCTTTCTTTAAAAAAATAATAAAAAGTTGTGTTCTTGGAGTTTTCTGAGTGGTAGTTTGGTTGATTGCAGATGAAGAGAGAAAGGTTTGGAGAATGGGGATTGACAGTTGAGTAGAGTTTGATTCAAGCAAATGCGTTTCGGGAAGTTGAGACTTTAACATCACAGCATATTGGGTATTTGGGTTCGCTTTCTGTAAATTCTCGTTGCCACATTAAATGGTTAATTGACATTCCGATGACTAATGCGCGTCTTTCTTACCTTTTTAGGTAAAAAGTTTCAAGTATGGGGTCCTAAACTCCTAATTACTTTTCAACTTGAGACCACCAATGCTTTTTTAGAGGGTGGACATAACAATTTAGCTTAAGAACCGTACCAAATCGGACTAAATCGAATCAAACCGAAATTGATAAAAACCAAACAAAACCCAACCGAACTAAATAAACTAAAAAAAAATCATATATTATTAACATTGGTGGTTTGATTTGGTTTGATTTGGGTTTACTTAAGTAGTTTGGTAAACATTTGCTCACACAGAATGGTTTGCTACTTTGGTTTGCTTTGGTTTAAAACGGAAAAATCGTAAACCGAACCGAACACCAAACAACATATACATATATATCATTTATCTTCACTCTTCATTTTTAAGATATAAATAAAAATTTAGATATGAATATACATATATTTCTTTTCATTTTTAGAAAAAATTCAAAATAATAATCGCAACTATTGTCGATCCACTGAAAATAATCCCAACTATTGATTATTTTTGTATAATCCCAACTATATAGACTGTCCGCCAATAATGGTTCATGACCAGATATTACCTCTATAAAAAGTGAATTTTAAATAGTAATTAAGCGTAAAAATTAAAAGTTGAGATTATTTATAGGGATTACTTGTTATATCTCATCTCATCCACTTTAGAAACTACAAGAAATTATTCATAGAGACCATTATTGGCGGAAGGTCCCTAAAGTTGGGATTATTCTGGAATAATCAATAGTTAGGATTATTATGAGCGGACCGCCAATAGTTGGGATTATTACTATCAATTTTTCCTTATTTTTATCTATTTATTATTATTTTTACTCCAGGAGGGTTTGGGGGAGGGGGGCTGGGGGAATCTGGAGTAATCAGGGCTGAAACCCACTCCATTGAGTTTCACACCCTTATGTGCCTAGTAGGTTTCGAACCCGAGACCTCGCACTAGGCACGGTAACCTCACAACCAGCTAAGCTGAAATGCTTGGTTATATGAATATACATATTTAAGCATATACTCGTATCATTTTAATTTTTACACATTTCATACATTCCTTATGACAAAGTTAGCTAATACAACATATTTGTGCGAAGTAAACCAAAACCGAATCGAAACCGAAACCGAAGAAAACCAAACCGAAACACAAATGGTTTTACTTAGGTACAAATTCTCTCAACCCAAATAAACCAAAACCGAACCGAAACCGAAGAAAACCGAAGCGTAAACCGAATTGTCCACCTCTACTTTTTTAGACGGAAATATAGAATTAGCTAATACCTAATTAGTCAGGATGTTTTTACTTGGACTGTAATTTGCTAGTTTGATCTGGATTGGTCTGGTTTTTTTGTATTTTTATAACTATCCAAGTTGATCTGATCTGGGACAGATTACAATCTAAGTAAAAACATCTTTAATATTGCATTCGTTCTCTTTTAATTGGAAGATTGAACTTTTTGCACTATTCGCATACTCAACTTTGACTATATTTTATTTATTCATGTATTATAAATTAAAATTTTTAAAAATACTTTTAAATTCCTCTCATTTTAAATATTCAAAATTTGATTTTTATAATTTTTTACTGATAAGAAATGAAAGATATTAATAGTTAGACTTATGTATTGGGTGAATTGTTGCAATCAAATCAGAATGGAGAAAGTATCAAAAAAGGAATTTGGAATAAAAACGTTTGAAATTACAACATAGGACTATAATGTTTTTAATCCCTAAATATAAGAAATTGTTGTTAAACTTGAAATACTGTCATGTCAAAGTCAGATATTGCCAAAATATGACTAGGGGTGTGCACGGGTCGGGTTCGGGCGGGTCGGGTTTGCGAACCCTAAACCTGTTCGGGTTTTTTAATTTAAATACTAGGTCCGACCCTTTGATATTTCAAATCGGATATTTCGGATATTTTTAAGTCGGATATTATCGGATATCGGGTCGGGTTTCGGATATTTCGGTTATATTAAAAAAATTATAATTGGATAATTAAAGTGTTTAAATGCCACATTGACAAAAATTGTACACACTAGTGCACTAAACTTCCAAATTACACAAATAATTTAACACAAATTCCACAAATAATTACACAAATAATTGAACACAAGTATTAATTTAACATATTCAAAGTACACACTACATAATTTAATATATTTTGGATATTTTGGTTATATCAAAACACATTATAATTGGATAGTTAAAGTGTTGGAATGCCACTTTAACCAAAATTGTACACACTAGTTCACTACACATTCAATTTACACAAATAATTTAATACAAATTGCACAAATAATTACACAAATAATTGAACACAAGTATTAAATTAAATATTCAAAGTACACACTAACATATATTTCGGATATTCGGGCGGGTCAGGTTGGGATTTCACAAACCCTACCCGCCACCCGGTCTAGGCCCAATACTAATCGGATTTTCGGTTTCGGGTTTTTCGGGTCGGATATCCACTTCGGTTCGGATAATATCCGAAAAAAATATCGGATTTTTCGGGTCGGATCGGGTTTTGCTCAGCCCTAAATATGACAATAATTACTCTACTTTTGACAATAAAACATGACAATCTTATTTTGAAATTTCGAAACGTTTTCTCTTATTTAGGACAATTTCTCTATCTAAAATTATCTATAACATAGAAAAATATTAATTTGTATTCGCGACCATACCTATGTTATTACTCTGTATCATTTAGTCAGATATCTACATATTTATGATTAAAATAAATATTTATAAGAGTAATTTTATTCATAATTACTTATATTTAATTTTTACAATCTAAGTAACCGTGACTCTATACTTATATTAGTAAATAAATTATTTCAATATTATATTTGAAAAGTAAAAATCTCATTAATTTTTTTGGTAAAAAAAAACTCATTATTTAATAGTGATGAAAATGTCAAACAGGAGTCCCGGGCAAACTTTATTACTGCTCAAGTGCTTAACTGCGCAAGCTAGATCCTAATTCCTAAAGCAGGGTAAGAAGAAGTCAAGTCCCGGACAAACTTTAAACAAAAAACAAAAAATTGACCAAACTTTAATAAAAACAAGTCACCAACTTTAATCTGCACCTGAGAATAAGTGACCAAACTTTTTTTTGCTCGCAGAAGACTTAATTCATAAAAATAGCATTCAACAAGGGTACAGAACTAGAAAAAAACCATAAATAACCATCCGCCCGTGGCCGAGACTGAGAACTAACCACCTGTAAAAAAGCAGTATAACTCGCTAGACCAATTTTGGGCAAATTAGAGCTAATGACGGTTACCGCAGATTCTTCCTCCCCCACCTTAATGCAAGAGTCTCACAATGAAAAAAGTAACAAAACAAAAAAAAACAAAGCAACCAGATTTAAAGTAACCAAAACAGATAAATAAAGAACAACGAAACTAAACTTTTTCTTCATCACCACCCAGAAGATGCACGGCGGGTCTATGAGATCAGACCCTCCCCTTCCGCATTTTTTGACCCATCCAGAGGCATTCCTGCACCATCCGCTCCTTCTTCATTCTGGTCTTTCCACGTACGCCTACGCTTTAGATCCCCAAGTGGATCCTCTTTATCCTCGCTCTCGTTCAATGGAGCCTTGGTAGCCTTGGACTCAGCCGAGTGTTCTCTCCCGAGATCAGACTTCTGTTGACCTGCATATCCATCTGAACTAGAGGCTCCATCGGATAACCATTTATTAAACCCTGTAGGGCTGGTCTTTACCCTTCCACATGCTCTAATTTCCACCCCATATATTTTTTGAGCTACGAAACCTTCTTCATACTTCAAAGGACAAAATTTGTCAGAATGACCAATAATACCACAAATAAAGCAAAAACTGGGCAGTTTTTCGTATTTAAAATCAACTCAATGTTTCACTCCATCCTGCGTTAAATTTGTTCCCCTTTTCAAAGGTTGACGAATATCCAGACTCACTCTTATCCTTAGATAGGAACTATGTTTTCTATCAAAGTGACTCATCTCAAATTTAATAAATGAGCCTATACAGTTACCAATTTTCCTGGCAGATCTCAGATTCCTATATTTTATAGGGGCATTATGCACCTGTACCCAAAAGCTGGCCTCAAACAGATTCATTGATTCAGGTATATCATCAGGCTGGACAACTTTTAACAAAATCAAATCACGTTCAAAAAACCAAGGGCCTTCTTCAATCACACGATTCATGTCCAAAACATGATTAAAGATTAACAGATACCTGCGTTCGCAGATTTCCTTAATAGTCATACCTTTCACTGACCTCCAGATCGAGGTCATCAGCTCTTGAAATCCTGAAAGCTTAATTTTACGGTCTGTGATGACTACCCCTACTGCCGGAAATTGCTTCGGTTCTTGCACCTCCTTGGCATCAATCTCTGTATCTTCATCGAAGTTTAACTCGCTCTCCTGGTCCTTCATGGATAATATGTTATACGAAGCAACGAAATCCTCTATGAAAACAACTTTCGCCCACTCTCGACTCCCTGCGCTCACGGCGAAGAAGCTATCGGCCAGCCGCGACGTTTCTTTATTCCCTACCTTCCGCCTCACGTCCAACCGAGATGGATTGGAATCGTTCAGGCCTCCGTCTCCAAACTGCTGCTCTCGATCTTTAGCCCAAAGCCGAAAGTCGGAAAACTAACCTAGCGGCGGCACGCCCTAGGAGGATCGAAGTTTTAGAGAGCAGAGCTCTCGCTCCGTTTATTCCCTTCTTTTTTGACCAAACTTAAAATAGACAGAAAGCTCAAAAAAAAAAATTAAAGTGAATTAAAAAAAACTTGCGACCATTGATCTATAGAGTTTTTATCATTTTTAGTCCCTCATTATGGGTTCAGTGACACTTTTGGTACTCGACCTCTAATTTTTTTATGTTTAATTCTTCGACTATTATGGGAAAGACACTTTTAGTTTTCGATTTCAATATTTCTCATAT